AGCATCATCCCCGGCCGCCTTTGTCTCCTGAGTAGCGATGTTTGCACAGCGCATCAGGTACCCATTTAAGGCTGAGTCGACCTAAGAGAGGCCCAGGGCCGGTTCAAAAATTCGCTGCAATTTTTTTGGTCGAACTCGGGTCGCCGGCTACGTAGTGCGGAGCGCTAACCGCTACACTACGCTTCCCACTCTTCCCATATACACATATAGTTAAATCGGCCGATATGTGGGTGGGAGACTGTATAGCTGCTTGTGCACTGCACTATGTAGATATATCGATGTATACATAAATTCAGTAATCGTAAATTATTAAATACATTTTGATTTAAAGCTTACGTGACTACAGGGATTCATACTCTTGGTTATTTCGGTAAAGTCACGTAGAAGGGAAACAATAACGTGATCAACGTGATGATGATTGCTTGTGTTGCAGTCGAAACATCGTGAGAATTTTATTGTTTTATATTTTTATTATTTATTGTTTCCCTTCTAAGTGACTTTACCGAAAGAACCAAGAATATTAAATACATGTTATATATTTATGCTGTTCAACACATACTGCTGGGATCTCCCGTTAGTAAAGGCGCAGCCCCTGGACACTTCTTGGGCACTCCACTGCCGGCGGGCGGGCCTCCACTCGAGCCATTCAAGAGGGCATTTGGCCTACTCTTCCACGGTAGCCAGACGTCGTTTAAAGAGGACGAGGCTGGTTGACAAAGGTGGGTAAGTAATAATGAATTTGGCATTTTATTGTATTATTTGTATTGTTGTTGTTGTTGCCAATTGGAGGAGTCCCCACGTTTTACCCCGCCACACACGTGACACGTGACCTTGCCGATCGATTGTGGAGAACCCATTTCTACTGCTGGGTGAGCAACAGTGGCGGGGAGTGGGGGGGGAGGGGGGAGTGGGGGGGGGTGGGGTGGGGAGTGGAGGGGGGGGAGTGGGGGTGGGAGTGGGGGGGGGAGTGGGGGGGGGAGAGGGGGGTGGTGGGGGGGAGGTGGAAATGAGAGAATTGCCGCGCCCGGAGATCGAATAGCACGGGCGACCTCTGGGTTCCACGTCATGTGCGCTACTCACCGTCAACACTGCCATTGTGGGCAGCTTCACCCCCCCCCCCCTCCCTTTGGTGAAGTAAGGGTTAACCACGTCCCTCGCCAGCTTACAAAACAACAACAACCCACAAATCGCCGAAATATGCAAAACAATTGCTCGCTAAGCACTCTTGAAATAAATAAAAAAGCTACGAAAATTAATCATTCCTTCTATCTCCTACCTCTTACGTAACACAGACAAAGGCGTCCCGTGTAGCCGTGTCGACCGTTGGGGCAAGTGTCGCTTGTGCTGATGAGGCGCCTCTCGGCGGGCCGTGTGGTCAGCATCTCGCGCGGTCCCTCCCGTCTCCCAAGTGCTGGTGTTTACGCTGAGTCGATCTAAATGAGTCCCAGGACACGTTCTCGAAGCGCCAGATATCCATATGCTTAGCCGTGGTCGGGAATCGAACTCAGGTGGTTTGTAGCGCAGTGCGCTAACGACTGTGGAGCCTCGACGTCCCGGCCAATGCCCATCGCATCAACGAGATGGATGTGTCGAATCAAGGTCATTTAATGTCAACAGTAGATTGACCCCCCCATGGCCAATCTACTGCTGGATGAAGGCCTCCTCAGGTCGCCGCGACCTCTCACACGGTCCTGCGATATGGCAATGCACCTCGCACCTGCGCACGGACTGATTTCATCCCTCCATCTCTCCGAAGGGCGTCTATCTCTCGAACGCGTTCCATTCGTTGGCTGCCGCTCATTCGTTAGTCTTGACCATCGGCAGTCGTCCCTTCCTGCGACGTATCCTGCCCAAGGCCACTTTTACGCACAGTGTGAGCGATGTGCATAACTGCGTGTGTACACTCTCATCCACGTGTTCCTCTTTCTGTCTCTCAGTGTAATGCGCCACGGTGGCGAGACGTTAACTCCCTTGCCTGGTATACAGGAGGTCGTGGATTCGATCCCGACCCTGACGCGTGTATATGTGGAGTTTGCGTGTCTCTCTGCCCGTGGTTGCGTGGGGTTTTCTCCGGGTCCTCCGGTTTTTCCGTCCACATATAGAAACATGCGTTTAGGGTATTTGGCTGCTATACATTTCCACGTGACGAGCCACTTCGTTGAGCTATCATTTGTGGTCAGGTCGCTTCTGAAAAAGAACTACGTGGCTCAGTGAGCCTTACCTGGTAAAATAAAAAAAAAATAGTTGTATAGTTTAGTAATACCAAGCATGCATGTCTCAATGCCTACACATGCACACCCTTTATAGCTCTCTTATGTGCGCGGGTTGCACCGAGGGTTGTTCCACGTGCTGGCTGAGAGCTTCTTCGCGAACCGGGTGCTTCTTTCGTGAACCGAATCGACTCTCCCGAAGAAGCTTTCCCAGCACGTGGAGCGAAACGTCGGACATCCTTCCTAACAACACGTGGTGCAACCCGAAATCGCATTGGAGAACTGTACAGCAGCACAGCCGCGATAAGCTACAAAGTACTGTACAGAGCAGCAATTGATACAACTCAAGGTGGCTACATTTACTAGCACCGATTTGTTTACATGGTCAATACGAGTTAATTACTTTATAACAGCATTCATTTAAATGGTTATCGCAAGCGATTCGCTGCTCTTGGCCGCAGCAAGCAATTACAGTCGCTCACGTTCTGCCAACTCGGAGGTGAAACCGACGAGTGAGATATCTGCTCTGGACCGCTGGGCTAACTGGTGCTTGGTGCAGACCCTACGCATCCAGGCGTCTGTGAGAAAGCGCTTCATAGCTCATCAAATTCCCCCCAGTCTAAATAAAAGGCGCCGCCGTGACGAGATGTTAACTCCATCGCCTTGAATGCAGGAGGTCGTGGGTTCGATCCCGACCCTGTCGCCTGCTGTATATTTGGAGTTTGTATGCCTCTCTCTCTCTCATTATCGTCACGGTGGCTAGGAGATGTTAACTCCATCGCCTGGCATACAGGAGGTCGTGGGTCCGATCCCGACCCTGTCGCCTGCTGTATATTTTGAGTTTGTGTGTGTCTCTCTCTCTCTCATTATAATCACGGTGACTAGGAGATGTTAACTCCATCGCCTTGTATGCAGGAGGTCGTGGGATCGATCCCGACCCTGTCGCCTGCTGTATCTTTGGAGTTTGTGTGTGTCTCTCTCTCATTATCGTCACGGTGGCTAGGAGATGTTAACTCCATCGCCTGGTATACAGGAGGTCGTGGGTTCGATTCCGACCCTGTCGCCTACTGTATATTTGGAGTTTGTGTGTCTCTCTCTCTCTCTCTCATTATCATCACGGTGACTAGGAGATGTTAACTCCATCGCCTGGTATACAGGAGGTCGTGGGTTCGATCCCGACCCTGTCGCCTGCTGTATATTTGGAGTTTGTGTCTCTCTCTCTCTCCCCGTGGTCGCGTGGATTTTTCTCCGGGTTCTCCGGGTTTTCCCCTCCAAATTTAGGATCAACATCACGCGTTGATAGTATTTGGCTACTGGTAAACATTTCCACGTGATAGGCGACTTCGGTGAGCCATAATTTGTGGCCAGGTCGCTTTTGAAGAAGACCTCAGTGGGCCTAACCTAGTAACAAAAAAATTAGTTTTAAAGGTTCTGATTTTGATTTTAAGAATGAGGAAAAGTTCCCCCAACGCCCACTCTCCATCTCCCCGTCCCCTCTACCCCATCATCACTTTGGTTCATCCTCCCTCATCTTCCCCCCGCTCCCCATATACAACTCTCACGCTCTCGCTCGCATAAGCCCCATGTCTCTCCTCCTTTTCCTCTATACTCAGGAGCGCAGAGTTTGGAGGCTTCTGTATGTGGAGCTTCTATGCCGCCCCCTCACATCGTGATATGTCGCGCTGTGTACCGCGATCCTATTGACATGCAATTTTACAAAAAATACAATAAAATTACTGAATAAAAAAAATACATTGAAAAAAAAGAATAAGCCAAAGCTTTAGGGCCCAACGAAGCTTAAATAGCCGGGATTTCACGGTAACGTACAGCCTGTACCCGATATCTCACAGCCAGCACCCACCACATCTTCACCTCACTGCACTCTGCACCACCTCGCTCCCTTTCTCTCATCCCCACGCGCGCCTGTCTCGTTTCGACGTCTCTCCCATCTCACCACGCGTCTCTACCGCTAACACACCCGTCCGCCCCTACAGGACGGTCCCAATGTCTTGTGACTGCCCCCCCCCTGCCCCCTGCCCAATTAATTTACTCACGAAATGTTTTTGTTTACTTTGCCAATTAATTTCTGTTTTAAATAACCCTTACTTTAAACGAAAAATTGTTACGTTTTAGAGAATGAAATGAGGGTCACAAGACATCTGGACCACGATGTGCGTCTCTTCTTTCACATCGCTCCGCGTGATCGTGTCTCTTGGTCTCTACACTCTTTGGTCATCTCCGCGACGAGTTTATGAATTTAAATGGAAGTGGGATGGAGGGAGGGGCAGCAACACATCCCCCCCTCTCTCTCGTGTCGCTACATTTTCTCTCATCTCCATCTCCTCTCATCTCCTCTCATCTCACTACGGCTGTCTTTTGCCCACATTTCTCTCATCTCGCTACATCGCTCTCTCTCTCTTGTCTGTATCTCCTCTGTAATCTCCACTCGGAGATCGTAAATGGTCAGCGTCCTCCTCCTCCCCCCCCCCCTCCCAAAATAATTTCTGCTTCGGGTTCCCATGAGCGCGCACCGCTACTCGATATGTCTGTGTGTGTCTGTGTGTCTGTCTGTGTGTCTGTGTGTGTCTGTGTGTATGTCTGTGTGTGTGTCTGTGTGTGTGTCTGTGTGTGTCTGTGTGTGTGTCTGTCTGTGTGTCTGTGTGTCTGTCTATGTGTCTGTGTGTCTGTCTGTGTGTGTCTGTGTGTGTCTGTGTGTGTGTGTCTGTTTGTGTGTATGTGTGTGACTACGAACCCGTAGTCGAGTGCGGCGCGTTCGCGTGCGTGACTCACCAGGCAGAAGGCTCGACACACCAGGACGAGGCTTCTCCACCTGAGCATCTGGTCGCGCATGTTGCTGGCGCCGCGTGGAGTCGTGGCGAGCCCCCCTCTCCCCACCCCCCCCTACCCCCCCACTGTGGAGCCAGAGGGCCGGCAGGGTCGAGGGCCCCTTCCTCCGGGGTTGACGTTCGGGCTGGGACGCTTCGGACTGCGCTCCTTTTACTTCATGGCGAGTTGCGGCGCCCTCCCAATCACCCACGCGGTACTCATCACGTCTCCACAGGGCGCTCTGGCACCGCTACGACGCCCTCGCCTCGCCTCCTCCTCCTTCTCTGCCCACCGTGCAAGGCGCCTCTAGCACTGCAGCTGTGCGTGCCTTTGTCTCTCTACCCGGTGTCTCTCTACCCGGTGTCTCTCTACCGGTGTCTCTCTACCTTGTATCTCTCTACCTTGTGTCTCTCTACCGGTGTCTCTCTACCCGGTGTCTCTCTACCCGGTGTCTCTCTACCCGGTGTCTCTCTACCCGGTGTCTCTCCACCCGGTGTCTCTCTACCGGTGTCTCTCTACCCGGTGTCTCTCCACCCGGTGTCTCTCTACCGGTGTCTCTCTACCCGGTGTCTCTCCACCCGGTGTCTCTCTACCCGGTGTCTCTCTACCCGGTGTCTCTCTACCGGTGTCTGTCTACCGGTGTTTCTCTACTGGTGTCTCTCTACCCGGTGTCTCTTCTCTAGATGTCTGTCCTTGTATCTACTAAACGTTTTTTGTTGTCCCTTCTGTCGGTCTATGTCCGTGTCCTTTGTAATCGGCCACCTATTTTCCTAATTTTCTTGATCGATGTATGTGCTTGTTTCTATCTATCTCCGTGTCCCTGTATCTGTCAATGTCTTTGTTTTTGGAGATTCACAGATTTATATGTCCTTGTATGTATGTATCTTTTAGACCGATATCTGTGTGTATTTGTATCTGTTTATCCTTGCGTCTGCCTGTCTCTATTTGTGTTCCTCTGTCTATCTCAGTGCATCGGTATCTGTCTATTTATCTATCTACCTATCTGTCTGTCCATGTGTCTATATATATCTACACTAGCTTAGAGTTGTGTTCTAGGTGGCAATCTTCCCTAGGCATTGCCCGCGACAAAACAACAAAACGTTAGATTGTCTCAATGTCTGGCGAGCTGCCTAACTCCTGGTGGCCTCCCGCGCCTCTGTCAGACGGTCCCCCGCCACGGCACGATCGGAGCGACCCGGGTCTCTGCGTAATGCGACTCGCCCGGCAGAATCTCTCGCGTGACAATTGTGCCCAGAGCCAAACATCACCACCCCGAACGTTCACCACGGACCACCAACTCCACCATCTCCACCACCCCACGATGTGGTCACCAATTCACCTGGTGTATCAACAGCGATGTGGCATCAGCAAGCTGGTTAGTCAACTCTTTTGCTTACCATCATCGGTTTTCGTTCAATTTGAATTGCAATAACCGTATACACTGCGTATGCCTATCGACTCTGATTGCTCCAATCACTTGTTGTAAGTTATAACTGCTGCTCGTATTATTACTCTGACTGCTGCTACTAATAATGACTGCTGATATTATAATTTATGCTGCCGCTTCTGCTGATGATAATTATTACTGCTGCATTATAATTTCTGCTGCCACTGATGATGATGGTGATGCAAATAGTGTTAGTAATTATATTGAGATTAATGACGACGACGATGCTGATGATGATGACGATGAATGAGAGAGGGCAGTGATATTGAGACACGGCAGTGATACTGAGACACGACTGTCTCGCAAACAACAAGAACCACAAAGAAAATTGTCGTGAGTGGCGGAGTAGAAGATTTAAAAAAAAAACACCTCTAAACGAACAATTCGAAGAAAAAATGAACAGACTAAGTGAGACCTTAAAAAAATAAATGAGCCAAATAGCTTAAGCGACCAAAGAAACAGAGAGAGAGAGAAGCGCTGCTTAGCGCCAAGTGCGGCAGCCGAGTTGACACGGAGCGCTCCTGCGCCGCGAGTATTGAGTGACCGCGTGTTCGCGCCTCGAGTGAGTATATGAACGCTTCCCAAAGGCTCAGAGAGCGAACAACCACGCCACACACACACCCCACACACACCCCACGCACACAGAGGTACAGCCTACAGCCGTGACGTCAGCACTCTGCGAGCCCGTTACCCACAGCACTCCCTCCCGTTTCATCTCCACAATCCGCACGCACACAGGGCGCATGCAGCGAGTACACAGAGCCCACTCAGTGCGTACAGAGCGCAGGGAGCGCGCACAACGCGCACGAAGCGAGCGTACACAGAGCGCACACGAATCGCACACAGCGCGCACACGAAGCGCACACGAAGCGCACACGAAGCGCACACGAAGCGCACACGAAGCGCACACGAAGCGAGCGCACACAGAGCGCACACAGCGCACACGAAGCGTGCACAGAGCGCACACGAATCGCACACGAAGCGCACACGAAGCGCACACGAAGCGCACACAATGCACGCGAAGCGAGCGCACACGAAGCGTGCACAGAGCGCACACCGAGCGCGCACGCGTTTACACCCGCGAGAGAGATGTTGTACCCTGTGTTGTTCTGTTACGATGTCCGACGTTTCGCGATCTATGTTCTGGGAGCTTATTCGGGAACTGAGAGCGGTGTTTTCGAGTTGTATCGCGTGTTGTTCGACGTCACTTGATGTGCAACGTTCCGTTCCACTTGTTGGGAGCTTTTTTCAGGAATGGGGAGCTGTGTTTTAGGGTTGTATCGCGTGCGGCTCGGCACGATGTCCGACGTTTCGTTGCACGTGCCGGGAGTTTCTTTCGCAACTGTTTTCTGGTTGTGCGCGCGGGTTAATCGGAGCAATGTCCGTCGTTTCGCTCCACGTGCTGGGAATGGGAGATTTTTCAGAGTGCTATACACACACCTGCGACGATGTATACGCTGAACTATAAACTATTTTTTTTACCTTACCAGAAAAGGCCCACTGAGCTATGTAGCTCTTTTTCAGGAAGCCACCTGGCTCTCACAAATGACAGCACAACGAACGTGGCTCATCATGGTCATCATCATCATCATCGCGTGGAAATTGGTGGCAGCCAAATGACTTGCACCCGTGTCTCATTTATCTCCACACTTGCACGAGAGGCAGAGATCCCTCGCCTCCCTGCTGCGCACTCAGGGAGGGGGGGGGAATTTAATTGCAGCCGGGTCTGTCCACGACGGCAACCCGGCACACCACATCACGTAGACCTCTCGCAACGCCCGTGGTCGCTGCTAGTCACGTGCCACCTACTCCAGCCTACGAGCGACTTGAACCAATATAACAGGTGATAAATTAATCCTCGATCGGACGCTTAAGAGCCACGGTGTTGTTCGCGAGCGCCTATTAAGGGTAACGCGGTGGTGGCGATGGCAGTGGAGCCGGGATCGGTCACTCACACCCGACCATCTTTTTGTCTCCGACGCGGCATTGATGGTGTTCGTGGCCTAAACAGACAAGCGGTTAATACCCCTTTTAAAGCGTGTTACGTTTAATTCCCAATTGTAACGAGTTCGTAATGGCCAGAAATGGATTCCGGATTTGTGTTCTCACAGAGAAGAAACGTCGCATTACGTCAAATATGCACGCGAGACCTCGGAAGCTGATCAAAGTTGAATCTGGTTAGTACTTGGATGGGATACTGGCCGGGAATGCTACGTGCTGCAGACTCCGGGCGGCGATGTGTGCCAGCGGATTTCCGTGCGGTGGTGCATTTCTAAAATCAATCTGTGCGGAGCTTTTTCCGTGTCGCCCGCTCGTGTGCGCGGTGAGTGTTCTCCAGCCTCTCCGATTTCCTGTCAACGAGAAGCGGAACGCGCGACAGCGGAATGGCCTCAACCTTTTCAGTGAAGCAGTAGCCTCCTGCATGAAGCGCTGAAGACTCGGCGGGACTTTCCTGGGCAAATTATTCGCATTACTACGTAATAGTATTATTATGTTTTGTATTACTCCTCGCCTCGAACGCTGACAAGGTCTAACAACGGCTTTTTTTTCCCTGCATGCAATCACGCGTACACAAATAGCTAGGTGCTGGTGTGCTTGGCACACGTATACACATACACACGAGAAGTAAATTATATATGCATGTATTTATGACCCAAAAAAATCTGAGCCCGTATCCCGTGCCATGATTAGCCTAATAGAATTTATAAACCGCGCTCGGCTCATATTTCCCCTAATCCCAAAGCCTCCAGTTGATCGTCGCAGGCTGTATAAATTAGCGCCATCCCCATCCGATTCGCGTCGATTCTCCGGGCGCTGACGGATTAATTGATTCGCGCCTGGAGACTCTTGATTGAGATGTAGTAATCGACTCGGTGGGCGTGGGGATTTTTTTATTTATTAAAAAAAAACATTTTTAGGCCGTGACATTTCACTTGGCGATACTCGAGCCGTGCGTTAGGGGCACGCGTGGCGCGACCACGGCGCCGCGCGGTGCCCCGCATCCCGTTCCGCGACTTCGTTGCATGCGGCCGCGGCCACACGAGACACAATGGCACCTCGAGCATCGTGGTCGCAACTAGTCCAGCAGCTGGAGAGGCGGGGGGCCGAGGGGTGGGATACGTTCGACCCGGCAAGATCGCTGTGCCTCGCGACGATGCATGTGGCTTCTTTACACCTGCTGGGAACGCATGACCCTGTGGCCATGTGTTCGCGTTATTGCTGAATAAGGCTAAGGGCGTGTGGTCATGTGGCCCACCCAAAGGTGTTTGCAAATCGTAATCGCCCCCCCCCCCCCCGTTATTATGCGTCATGAGTAAATGGGTTTATTCAAATATGAGCATAGTTCCATTCTGTCTCTCCACATAGAACCAAGCACAAAGCGCCGTCAATATTATGTCAGGCAGCATTTGGTCAAGCGAGCAAACTCTGGACTGGTTTCGTTCTTCAGGATTTGTTAAACAAATCCTGTTAGATTAAACAGATGGGCTTGGAAAGGGTACTCTGTACAAACGAAGCTTTGGTGAGACTTAGAAAATCGAAACCGGCCCAAATGTGTTTTTTTTAGAGAGACAGAATTGAGTTAAGCTTCTGCTTTTATTTGCTTTAACGTATTCGGTTATCGGTAATAACAAATAAAGTGTCCTAGCTTTAGGGAGCGATGTCAAGCAGTGATTGTGGTGGTAGTAGTGGTGGTAGTGGTGGTTGTGGTGGTGGCGGCGGAACGGGAGAACGTGGAGCTGAGTGGACTTGCCGAAGACTTGTACTAGCGGTGTCAACATCGGCCTCTGTGGAGGAGGCTCGTGAAGGACGCTGCTACTGGGCAGTTGGAGGCAGTCGCCCTCCAGAAACAACGGAGGGCATAGGAGCGACGCTCACAACAACGAGCGGAGCGCCGGGCGTCTAAGATGCAGCAAGTTGGCACAGTAGGGGGATACAGCTGGTGGTGCATCTACCAGTCATCTCAGTTGGCCGATCCATGGCACCTGCTGGGTCTGTCCCG